GGTGAGATCTATATCGCTAAAAACCCTGTTTTCACGAGCGTACCAAGCACGTTGAACTTGATTGCCATTTTTCCGGCAACAATTTTAGGCTGGTCTCATTTCTCTCTCTTTTCTTCCCATTCATTATCAGCTCGCCGATATTTTCACTAAATCTCTTTCTGGTCCTCACCATCGTGTTATTTTGGGCAAGTTGGGGGTGATTTCCTTCCCCTCCAACTTGAGGAGGGGTGTTGACAGTGTTCCGATGGAGCAAATGAAGAAGAAGAAGACTGACCCACTGATCGATACATCCAATACAAAGGGCATTACATAGTCTAACCTTTGAAGGATGTTATTACATTTTAGTCCTTATAGTTACACATACATTCTAGAAAGTTCTAGGGATATTTATGTAATTAGTCATTCCACTAAGTTGGTTAGACAGAAAGTTAGGCGGTTAGTCATTGATGTATATATATACATTGAACTATTTGTATTGAGATAGAAAAAAAAGAAGCATCAAAATTCCAAAATGCATTTTGTTCATTCCAAATTCTCGAATCCAAACAAAAAAATGTGTGAATTTTCTAACAAATAAAGTGATATGATCATGAATAACCCAACTAGCATAGAGTTTATAGCTAGGAGAACAAAATATCTCAATCCTATTTCTTGTTTCCTTCGAGAAAAAAAGAAGATGTTTTGTATTTCAAAAATAACTAATTAAGTGCATCTTGTTTCATTTTTATGGCATGTTTCGGTCAATTGTTCAAGGTGAAGGCTGGTCCAAGCTTAGCTTGTGCAGCCATAGAGGTCAATATAGGGAGAGGGAAAGAGAGAACAATATAGAAGAAAGAGAAACAGAAAATAGGAAATAAAACCTCAAAATATTATTGACATCTGTAAAGAGTATATATACACAGCCTAACTAATTAACTAAAATTAAATGTCTAACATAGGTACTTTACATCTAACTAGCCACTTTATATAATTAGACAATAATCTCAATACTCCCCCCCCCCCAAGTTGGTAGTGTGGAAAACACTGCCAACTTGTGTAGAGCTGCTGAATGTTTGATTTCTGTCAGGGCCTTTGTTAGAACATCTGCAAGTTGGTCTGTAGTCCCTACATGGTGCAATGAAATCAATCATTCATGTAGCTTGATTCTCACAAAATGGCAATCAACTTCTATATGTTTGGTTCTCTCATGGAATACAGGATTCCTGGCTATGTGCATAGCAAACTAACTATCACAGAACATTGCAATGGGCTTGGGAAAAGGTGTTGTGAGTTCTTCAAACAATCTACTGAGCCGCACCAATTCTCCCACTACCTTTCTTAAGGCTCTATATTCTGTTTCTGCAAAGGAGAGGGATATAGTATCCTGCTTCTTGGACTTCCAACTAACTGGACTGCTCCCCATCAACACAAGGTAGCCACTCACAGATTTTCTGGAATCTGGGCATGCTGCCCAATAGAGTCACAATATGCTTTGATTGTGTAATCTTGATCCTTAGACAAGAATATGCCCAAGGTGGAGTCCCCCTTCAAGTATCTGAGCAGATGGAAAGCTACTTTTAAGTGAGGTTCTCTGGGGTCATCCATGAACTGGCTTAAGTGCTGCACACTGTAAGCTATTCTAGTCTAGTATTGGTGAAGAAATTGAACTTCCCTATCAATTTTCTGTAGTAAGCGGGATCTGGTAATCTTTCTCCTTCCTTAGCTTTAAGTTTCACAGTGGTGTCCAATGGAGAGCTGTTGTGATCCATGCATTGGTATTCTTTCAACATGTCAAGAGTAAACTTTCTCTGGGAAATTATTACACCATCATCTTTGTAGAGAACTTTCCGTCCTAAGAAGTAATGCAGCCTCCCCAGATCCTTTATTTTAAAGTTATTGTTCAAGAATGCTTTTAACTCTATGATCTCCACAATGTTAGTTCCTGTAACTACAATATCATCATCATACATTGCCATGTAAATAGAAGAGTGTTTAGTTTTCTTGTAAAATAAAGAGTAGTCATACATTGAATGTTCATAACCTCTTGAGCATAAAGCTTCAGTTAGTTTAGCATACCATTGCCTGTTTGCCTGTTTCAGGCCATAGAGAGATTTGTTGAGTTTGCAAACCAAACCTGGATTGTCAACTACTAAGCCATGTGGTACCTCCATGTACAGCTCCTCATTTAGTTCCCCATGTAGGAATGCATTATTTACATCTAGTTGTGATATGTACCACCCTTTCTTCACATTTATAGCTATTAGGATTTCACAATTGTCATTTTAACTACTGGGGAGAAGGTTTCTGCATAATCAATTTAAGCTTGTTGAGTATATCCCTTTACAACCAACCTAGTTTTGAATCTTTCTACACTACCATCTGCCTTATGTTTTATTTTATACACCCATTTACATCCTATGGCTTTCTTCCCAGCAGGTAAGGGAACTAAGTCCCAAGTGTGGTTGGCATGTAATGCTTCAGACTCTTGGTTCATAGCTGTTTGCCAGGCAGGATTCATAGTTGTCTCCTCATAAGATGAGGGTTCACTGTCACTGCAGATATCCATCACAAGACTTTGACTCTCAGGATTCAAGACATCAGAGGTAATATGGTGGTTGTTAGAGAACAGTGCATTAAGAGAGAAATGTGCAGCAGAACTGCTGTGAGCAACAGATGGTAATGGTCTTAGTGTAGGGAGTAAGTGGAGGTAGTCTTGTAAATATGCAGGTGTCTTATATGGTCTTTGTGATTTCATTAAGACAACATGTGTGTTGACAAGCTGGTGGACTATTGGTGATGAAGTATGGCTTGAAGGTTGAGGTGTTTCAGATTGTGGCAAAGGGCTGGAGGGACTCTCAGAACTAGTATTAGACTCAAAGCATTGGGATTGGTCATATGTAACACTGGTGCCATTATCACTATCATAAGTAAACTCAGTGCCTTCTTGAATTTTATCAATGAATGGAACAGAGTTGAGAATAGAGGGAAATGAAAAATTGTCAGGAGATAGAGCAAAGGGAAACACATTCTCAATAAAGACAGCATCCCTAGAAACAGACATCTTCTTAGTGGCAAGACTTAAGACCTTGTACCATTTGACACCATAGGGAGAACCAATGAATATGTGTGGGGATGTTCTAAATTCAAATTTGTCTCTGTGCACTTTTGGTACAGAAGGATAACATAGGCATCCAAAGATTCTTATGTGATTATGTTGGATTTTTTCTGTGAAGTAGTTCAAATGGAGATTTAAGATAACTATGAGAAGATGGTAATCTATTTATGATGTAGGTTGCACACAAGATGTATTCACCCCAGTATCTTACAGGTAATTTTGATTGGAATATGAGTGCCCTAGCAGTTTTTAGGAGATATTTCTATTTTCTTTCCACTATCCTATTTTGTTGAGGTGTGTAAGGGCAGGTCTTTTGGTGAATGACGCCTTTGGATTGGAAAAACATATTTGCCTTTATACTGGTGAACTTTGAGCCATCATCAGATCTGATTGTTTTGACTTTTTTATTAAATTGTGTTTCAACCATAGAAATAAATATTTTTATGACTTGTAATGCATTGCTTTTGCATGAGAGAAGGTTAGTCCAAGTGGACCTACTGTAATCATTCACCAGTATAAGAAAGTATTTATAGTTGTCATGGGTTGCCACATGGTAAGGTTCCCATATGTCTATGTGTAGTACTTGGGAGATTTTTGAGGAAAAATTTATTTTCTAGGGAAATGGCAGTCTTCCCTGTCTGGACATTGGACAAATAGAATAAAGAAAGGGTTTCTTTGGAGGAAAAGAGATAGGGATAGAGGTAATCCCTCTCATTTTGACAAAGGGTATATGCCTAAGTATATTATGCCACAAAATATTTACATCATTATTAGATGATACACATGAATTCAAAATAAGATTTTTATTATTCAAACATGGAACATTTGTGGATAATGAACTATGTACAGATTAATCAATATGGCAGTGTGAGTTGTCTGTGCAGTGAGCCTTATTATAAAGGCAAGAGAGTGAATTGCTAACAGCATAACCTGAATACTTGCTTCTCAGACATTTTGGGCAGAGAAGGTACAACCCATCACAAGCCTTACCAATCTCCAGAGGCCTTTTCATTGAACGGGCGTGCAGAATACAAAGGTTATTAGTAAAGGCTACTATACTTCTGGGATTAACACTGGTTAGACCATAAATGAAAATTAGATTGTATTTCAAAGAAGGTACAAACATTACTTTATGTAAAATGATAGCAGGCACAAGTGTTACACTACTAATTTCTGTTACTTTCACTTTATATCTACGTGGTAGTACAATTAGGAGTTGATAGGGTAGTATTATGACATTGGTTAGTAGGAACTTATTGAAGGTCATATAGTTTGACGCCCGTGAGTCTAAAATCCAGGAATCAGTCTTGTTTTTGAGATATTGACACGACAATTTACCAAAATCTATAAAGGAAGTATAGACTATTAGACCTGTAAAGTTTACAGCCCCCTTGATAAGATTGGTGGCAGTTGCATTCTCTCCTCCATTTCCAGCTTGAAAGTGTTGGAGCGGAGTCAGGATCTGTCCATAGTGCTTATTTGACAGGCTGATGTTATGGTCTTCATTCAAATCGTTTTGTTCTTCTCCCGTGTTGGGTGGCATGTCAGAAGACTGATTTCCATATACATTAGCCACTATTCTCTTTCCTTTGTTAAAATTTTGGTTACGATTGAATCCCTGATTCTGGTTGAAATTGAATCCATGTTTCTGGTTGAAATGTTGGTTTGGATTATGATTTTGATTGCGAGGGTATCCAAAATTCTCAGAGTAGCCATGTAGTTTGAAACATTTATCCTTAACGTGCCCTAGCTTTTTGCAGTAATCACATATAGGTCTTCCCCTTCCTTGTCCACCATAGTTATTGTTGTTAGGTGAGTAGTTAGTCCTATAAGTGTTGGGCCTAGAACTGGCAACATTCATAGAGGTTGATTCAATGAATAACTGAGTGTGTGGCTTGATTTCCCTCTACTTCTCATCTTGTATTAGGAGAGAAAAAACTTGATCTAAGTTTGGTAATGGATTCATCATGAGGATGCTTCCTCGAATCACAGTGTAGGTTTCATTCAACCCCATAAGAAATTGTATTAGTCGCCTGCCCTGCTCAGCTTTGTAGATATTTTCCTTCGCACCACAGGTATAGTTGCAAGTGCATTGAGACTTTTTACTCAAGGTGCTCAATTCTTCCCGGAGCTTCTTCAATTTGGTGCAGTAGTTGGTAATGTTAAGATTTTCCTGAGATATATCGTTTATTTCTTTTTGGATTTGGTACAATCGAGCTCCACTCGTTTGCTCATACCTATCTTCTAGTTTGATCCACAACTCCATAGCATCATTTACATATCCAACACTGTCTGCGATCTCCTTTGACAAGGAATTAAGAATCCACGAAGTCACCATATCATCACATCGTTCTTATTGGCGGAATGTGAGTGACTGAGGATCTGGGCGCTTACATTCGCCATTTATAAACCCTAGTTTGTTTTTCAGTGATAGACCTCGCAACACATTGCGCCTACATGAACGATAACCAACACCACTGAAGGGAACAGAAACAAGCGTACCACAGGGATTATCCGACGGGTGCAAATACAATGGATCACCTGGATCGATTCTGGAATTTTCTGGAACTATGACATGCACATCTGTGCTAGCCTCATCGCTCAAACCATCAACAACCATTAGTGATTGAGGTTAATTGTGTGAGTATTACACTTTGGGAGAAAACGCCGCTTCTCCGACACTGAATTAGGGCAAAAATGAAACTGCTTTCAGCGATCGATCGATTTGGGGAAAAACTCAAAATTGACGGACACAGAGAGAAAGGATGATAGAGAGATGATAGATCGGAACGACGAGCTCTGATACCATGCCAATTTCTCAAGGCGAAGGCTGGTCCAAGCTTAGGTTGTGCAGCCATGGAGGTCGATGTAGGGAGAGGGAAAGAGAGAACAATCTAGAAGAAGGAGAAACAGAAAATGGGAAATGAAACCTCAAAATATTATTGGCATCTGTAAAGAGTATATATACACAGCCTAACTAATTAACTAAAACTAAATTTCTAGCCTAGGCACTTTACATCTAACTAGCCACTTTACATAATTAGACAATAATCTCAATAGTTTCTAGTTTTTTTTTAAAAAAAAATTCCTTGCAAAATATGAGTTTTCGTTTCCTTTCCTTATTTTTATTATTTCTCTTTCCTTATTTTTAGTTTTTCCTCTCTTGATTAAAATAATTTTTTTAATAATAGACTTATTCTTAGGTAGAGTTTTTACATAGTGTGAGTTCACAAATATTATGGTGAGGTTAGGCAAAATATTTGTTCGACTCGAGCTTCAAAAGTATCTTCAAGTTGGATTGGTAATTTTTTCTTCTTTAATCTTTGCTTTTTGGGGGGTTGTTTTTGGGCATGTTGGCTTCACATACTAATGAGTAATTGCTTCAAATAAGGATTGTGATATTTTATGTTCTTCAATTTATATATTATTATTTTATCTAATTAGCTCCATTGATCAATTTCTTTTCAATTAGTCCGCTTGTGTGGAACTAATAGCGCATCATTTGGCATCAAAGCAATCCCCAATAACACCTACTAGTATACGTACCCACGCGATGCGCGGATCGTATAAAAGGGAAAAAAATGATATAATAAGTCTATATTGCAGACTAAATTTAGTAATCACATTGAAAAGAATTAAACTAAAAAATAAATATTTGAATTTCATCGGATTGTATCTATGCCATGGACCATCAATTTTATGCACTCATGCAAAGGTGAAGGATAAAACTTGTCTCAAATTCAAAATAAAACAAATATAGATAATCAAGAAAAGAGCAGCCGTACATTTTCCTTTGGAGTGATTGAAATATCGTTCCTTCACAAAATAAGGACAATAAAAGCTTCTGGGTCAACTTATTCAAAACCCTTCCCATCGTTCGAATCATAATCAGTCACCGTTTCTGCTCCTGCTGAAAAAATCTTATTCTCATTGAATTTTGTATAAAATGATGTGTCTTGCACAAGGTGTCATACTTGTGCAGCTCCCAGCTAGCAATTACTGGCTTTTTGTTCAATATTTCAGCTACTTTCCCTGAATATCCCATTCCATCTTTTCCTGTTTTCACTTTAACATCTTTAACTTTAGCATCTTTTTCCCCAACATACCTTGTTGCACTCTTGCTCTATTCTGGAATGCTCTATTTTACAATTATACTGGTCTTCTCCTTAATCTCCCATGTTTTTAGGGCAACAAAGAACGGAATGGAAAAATATAATGTCTGCTCTGTCCTGAGGAAAAATAATTATTTGAAGTTTGAAAGAAAACATAACTCTTATATAAAATTGATAACATATATGCCTGAAGGAATGGTGGTATCCTGTACCAATATCATAATTGTCCTCGAACACAAACCTGAATTCAGTTTTTATTGCTTGCTTCAGTTTGTCAATCCATCTCGCACTAAATCACCACTAAAAATCTATGTCTTCCACTTCTCATTAAACATCTCATCATGAACTTATAATAAGTAAAAGTGATGAAGATTACATATTACCATAGTATTTATATGTCAATAAATTATTGAAAGTGATCACCACTGAGAATCTATGTCTTCTACTTCCCATTAAACATCTCATCATGAACTTATAATAAGCAAAAGTGATGAAAATTGCACATTACAGTTAGCTATAGCGACAGATTAGCAACAAAATTCGTAACTAATTTTAGTTATAAATCTATTATGAGAGGCACATGGAAAAGTTCATGAGTCCTCTTATCGTTATGCCTAGCACCAAGCAAATTAAACTACGGAATTATGAAAGTTGAGCAGCTGGTTTAGAGATGTGTACTATTATATGCCATGAAAATTTAAATGTTAATTTACATATAGACATGGTATTACTATAAATGCACAAAGATATCTACATCAATGCATAATTTGCTTGATCTGGGGAACCATTTACATAGAGTCAGATTTCTTTATAACAGACATTCACTATAAAAGTCAAGTTTTTTAAATCAATTTTCATGTTATATTATAATATTTGTTCTAAATAACAGCACTTCGTCAAAAAAATTGGAACAAATGAGGCTGTTATAAAGAGGTTTTACTGTGTATTATATGGTCAATTTGCTTCTCTACAAGGGGTTCACTTTCTCATTTGTTCTTAACAATTTGTTGTTGCACCACCAATACTGAAACTGGTTTATTTATCTCTGCAGCAGCAAGCATATCACCAACTGGTCCAAGTTCTGGTAAATCATTCCATTTATTAAGTCCTAATAATTGTTGTAGATCGTCGCGATGGCTCCTTCCGACCATTATAAGATCAAAGGCTTCTTCCATAGCACATGAGAACATGAGAATCTATGTCTTCCACTTCCCATTAAACATCTCATCATGAACTTATAATAAGCAAAAGTGAGGAAGATTGCACATTACAGTAATTTTTATAATGTGGCAAAAGAGGTGTTTGATAATAATTAGGCACTTAAAAGTTAAAATTTAATGCCTTCAAACCTACTAAAAGCGTTATAATACTTTCGTGAGAACAATTTGTGTTCACACAAAAATTAACAATTGCTAATCAATGGTATAAATTAAATTGTACATTGCATTGTAAAAGCTTAAATCTATTCAAAAATTTGACAGACCATGGCAGTTAAACTTATTTTACTTGTCTGTCAATGCTACATTTGTTATTCGACAAAAATAAAAAATGGTGCAACAAAATTTGGCAAACAATATACCTTTAATATGAGAATGATACTGGTATTTCCTCCGTTTCAAAGAAAAGGCCGATTAGCCAGCATTCGAGGGCCATAAGGTAGTTTACTTCTCATTGTGATAGAAAGAGATTTCTGCATAAAATATATATAACTAAGAAATATCGCTTATTGATTAAACTATAAATTATCAATGTTCCTTTTAAGATATCTCATAAGTTGATGAGTACAAAAAATATATATGAAAAGCATGTTATTGAAATACTATGGCTCCACTATGTCCAGTCAAACATTGCATGTTACCAATAATATTCTTGGTAATCTTTCTGTTCCAGTTAGTTTAGTCTTCATACACTGCATCTTTTTGGAATACACTGCATGTACATAATAAATTGTTGAATATATATATATATAAATAAGAAAAGAGCATTCTTACATTCTCGTAAAAGGTCTCAATCCAAAAATAGAGGAATACATCAGCGTCAAAACAGAATGCCATGTTTCTCAACATAAGTTGTCAAGTCCACCTTCCATAATACGACTAAACATATGTTCCTCCGAAATATTTAAAGGTCAAATTAGATTTATCCCAAAAAAATCGATAAATGTCGAAGGAAGTCACTATGAGGTTATTGATACAGTTATCTTCTTAATATTAACATAATTTTTCTCTGTAATATTGAGGCTTCAAAATTAGACAGTAGTAGTTAAATCAATTAATAGGGATGAATTTTTAATATATACATATATATTTGTCAATATAGATTCTTCTTTTATTATAACAAAAGTGTGCAAAGATATAGTTATGCCGGATACTCTTCATCATCTTTGTATTCTATGTTATTTTGTAACTGCCATGTCATGTGTAAGATTTATGAGCGTATATTGATCTAAGACAATTACTACTGCTACCTCTATTCCCCGGGTCATCTATAGGCATTGCTAGAGAAGTTATCCCCTTATTGCACACTCCACTTGTAGTCTATACACACATACTAAGTTGTCCATTCAGTTAAGACTTCAATAGAACACTGCTGGTCTTTTCAATTTATTGAAGGGCAGCCCGGTGCACTGAGCTCCCACTATGTGCGAGGTACGAACCGTAAACATTAGAGGACGGGACGTGCAACTTGAATCCATAATTCAATTCTTGGGAAAGAGCACTAAACAGTCTTGATTATTACAACATGATGATACAGTTTGTTAAAAGAACATCCAATCACAGATAGTATTTTGACTTATAGCCCTAAACTTACTACGCAACTATAAATATATTAAATAGATAATATTGTCACTCACACCAGACATAGGAAGAACTCTTTCTTCACTTTCGAAAGAATAATTTGTATTTTTGGAGGGTCCAATATGCCATGTCCTCATGTCTATAAAATATATTTTATATGCGTCATTAGTTGTATAACTAATAATAAACTTAACCAAATATTTTAATAAGAATAAATTATGGTAAAATATAAAAACATAAAATGCAAATTTTTAAAGGGGAAGACTTCAAAAATGTTCTTATATATATAAAATTTTGTTTTAAAGTAGAGCCAATTATGCACAACTTTCCTAATGGTCAGTGAACTGAGAACTTACGAACTATTAGAATAATAAATAGTATACTTCTCATTATTTGCCATGAGCAATTTTCTATATTACTTGGCACCTTTCCTCAAATAGAATGAAGAATTTGGAAACGACTAATATAGGCATGTATAACGTTTTACTCATATATTAAAAAAACCAAACTCCAATTCCCACCTCCCCTGAGCCTCAATTTTGCGATATCCCAATAAATAAATGAACTAAATCGAAGAAATATATACAATTAAAAGGAGAATATCTTCTCTACTTCTCTCACCTCTTCACTATTTCAACATCTAAGTAGAAATATGCATGTTGGTTACTGAACCGTGTCACAAGCCCATAGATTAATTCATGGTTACATTTCACTTAGCGTTTCTAAAACATTGTACTTCCCAAAGGATTTGTTTAAACATATATGTAAATGATCAATACTTCCTTAAAGATCAGCAAAAATTGCTAGTGCATCCAGTACACGAGACCAAAGGAATTCATGATTTTGGCTGTAAATTCAAGAATAAATCAATCATCTTAGAAGTTAGTCTCAGCACTTGACTATCGACTGGAAATAATCTACTCTTATACACTTTTCAACTTTTGAATTGGAACGTAATGCTAAGAACTCGATTACTGTTGAACTTTTCCAAGCAACCTCATTTGATCAAGTCCTTTTAGAAGCTAATTTATACGATAATTTTTTTACTCTTTTACATTAGATATTTCACTATAAAGACTTCATAACTTATACCTGAATTTTATATATCATCAGTATCGCCAAAATTATCTTTTTACCCATTTATATACAAAGTAGATCCACGATTATTAAATTTTTTATTCTAATGGTCTTATTACTTATAGCTTGCAACTACAAATATATATAATAGGTATTTAAGAGATGTTAGTGTAATCAAAGAACATACCTTTGGTTACAAAATATTTTTTGTAGTGTTTTTGATTCTGTTTGTGATATACCTTTTGTGATATCAGTTTGATGTGGAAAGTGATTTTTTTTATATTTTCCATGGAAAAGGATCCAAAAAGTTAGATTTAATATGCCCTTTGAGAGACATTGTCACATGAAAAGTGAGATTGTGGGAGTTCCAAAAAAAGATGACTTATGTTGAGAATTGAAAACGGTTTCCAAAGTAGCCTCTATCGAGTTATGAATAAAGCAGTTTTAGTTTCTACGGTTTGTATATATATATATATATATATATATATTTTTTTTTTTTTGAAATTCAAATTCAAATACCAATTTTACCTAACTTAACTAAAATTAGCCTAAAATTACCACATGACATTTTCTTAATGCAACACTTGGCAAATTCTCATGGCTGACTTCTTTCTTTTTAATTAATAATAGATAATAGATAGATAGATTAGAGTAATTCCAAATCATATCACAAAGGATAAAACAACAAAAAAATATGTATTTAATCTGAGATTACAACTTAAGAAAACAAAATTTACTGTCCAATCAAACCGAGGACCCGTTTGTCCATAAGAAATTTTTATTTCTTTTTGAAAAAAAATTCAAACAATTGGTTATACATTGAAATGATTTTCTGAAGATGAGTTGGAAATTTGAAAAAGTGGCTTTTATCATATTTTCATGTAAAAATTCATTTTTCTTCGTAAAACTATAACAAATTTTCAAGTGAATTGTATATTCAAACACAATTTTGAATTTCAACTTTTTTTTCAACTTAACTCAATTTTTTTTTAAAATTATATTTTTTTCGTGTCCAAGTCAATTAGAAAAACTCATTAGTTTTTCAATTTAATAAAAATAAAATAAAAATAAACTCAAGATGAATAAATTGTGAAGGCGACGAGTGAATGTCCAAACCTCTCTTCTCGTCGGCATCGGTCTCTGACGAAGCAACAGACTTCATTCATTCCACAGAAACCCTAGGTGAATACTAAACAGTTGCCTCAATTTCTCTGGCTGACTTAAATACAGCTGTCTCATTATTCAACTTAATTTCTGCTTCCTTTTTTTTTAAATGTATAGTTCCTTCTTTTTGTTGTTGCTGTAGCTATGTTTCGCTCTGGGAATGGAAGGGACGGCTTTTGAACGAGTGAGAAGCCCAGAAATATAATTTTGTATGTTTTACTAAATTTGTTGTATTCTGATTCCATGATTTGAAAACATTTTATAAACTAACAAATTTAGGAAAAAGGAGAGAAAAGAGAGAAGCACCCATGGATGTAGCTTAGCAATGGAGTAATCGAGGTGGCCTGAACACCACTATTATTGGGAAAAAATTAAAGAAGTGGAAGAAAGAAAATAAACATTGGAGAACCATAGTTCAAATCCTAGCAGATGCAAAAAGAACAATAGGTGGATTTCTTCCCATCTACCTAAGGTCATAAGCTTTAGTGGCAGAGTTTCCCGGTACCTCTTGGTGGGAAGTAATATATACCAATAATCAAGGAGCCGTATACTGGTCCGGACACCGCCTGCTCTTAAAAAAAAAAAGAAGAAAAAAAAAAAACAGAGGAATGGTTGAATGAAGGAGGGAAGAAAAATACCCTCCATTTTAGACTCTAATGAGTGAAATTAGGGTTCTAACTGTGACTATTTCACTGTCTCCGGATGTGTGAGTCTCATTTCTTAATTTGTTCTGCTCTATCTTTGATGCGTTGCTTAAGTTTTTTCTTGCACAATTTTATCTTGTATCAGGATTGCAATGGACACTATTAAACATGAGAAAGTAAGGAGATTTGAGGAGTTTGTTGATCGCCGTCTGAAACCAGATCTTGTTCATGCAATTGCTGAACGGTTGTAACAAATATCTCATTCTAGTTTCCTCGGTTTTCCTGAAATCATTTTCTGTGTCATATATCTCTAATTACTTTCTTTCACACCATTTACTGCATTTCTATTCGATCCCTATCCTTGAATGACAAAGAAGTTTTTCGGCTGAACATTTCACTTTTCATATTAACAGACAAGGATCTTTGATGACCTATATTTAAAGTATATTCTAGTAGATTCCTATTATGGTGATTTCCTTAAACTTATTTAGCTTGCTCCTCCATCAATCAGAGTATAAATTATGGCTGATTTTGTAAAAACTTATTTTCCAGATTAATGGTCAAATTGTGCAGTAGAACGAGGAAAAACTAGGTGTTATTCTAGTCATGGTTAAATTTTGTTCATCAATTTGAGGCTTAATCCTGCAATGTTGTGTTAAAAAGTTTTAGCATCTTAATGTATGAAGGCGATGTGTCGGAATAAACTCTGCAATTAGCGAACTGATCAGTAGACAAATTACGCCTTATGGGGAACAGTGATGTCCAAACTGTTGCATAGAAAGTAATTGAATGGTTTATATCCAAAATACTAAAGTTACCTGCATATGATAAAAGATCTATACGTATTTAAGTTTAATTATCGTAACCAGGAGCTTCAAGCCCTTGAGTCTTCATCATACGAATTTGGCTAGTTCTTGCTGGCAGATGTAGGAAATACATGTTACTTGAGGAAATACCCAGGGAATCTTATTTTCTTTCATGCAAATAATCTTACGATGGCATAACTTGGTTTATTTTGTTTCCTTTCACTTGTTGGCTGCAGGGACAAGGTCTTTGAACAGCAAAAGATTTTGTATCCTTCCCTTGTATATAACACAGTTATGGAAATTTAGTTGGATCATTATTTCAGTCGTTTGGACTTTTTGATGTATTTACTTGCATGAATTAAATTGTTTAATTGTTTATCTGAAGTTTGACGTTGGAATGAGGTCTGTGCAGTTTTCTTAACCACCTTCTTTTAGCTCAGATTTAAGAAGCAATATAGAGAATTTGGAGAAAAACAGTGTAACTAATATGAGGACGCTGGTTAATCTTGGCTCTGAAGTATATATACAAGCTGATGTGTAAGTCTTTGTTAGCTTTATTTTAATGTTGGAAGCAATTTTCTGAGAAAAATAAATCAAAAGCAAGTGATGTCTGCTATCATTTGAACATGCTCGACAGGCCAGATACAACGCGCATATTTGTCGATGTCGGACTTGGATTTCATGTAGAGTTCACTTGGTCGGAAGCTCTAAAGTATATATCAGCAAGGGAGGAGAAATTAGCCGGGTACTTCTAACTTGTGATTCCACCGTTAGTGTTTTATTTTAGTTTGAGGGCATAAATTTAGTTACAGTTTCTTTCAAAATCTAGATGATTGTGTAAAGTATAACTTGGTTACATGATAAATCCGTCTTCTGTTCTTAAGATTTGGAGAAGAATTGATGATGATAAAATACAAGAATTCAATGAATTGGTCATCTTAATAATAGATCAAATCCCTCATGGAGTTTCTCCTTATGATGTATAGTGAGGATCTCTTTTTTACTGATAAGAAATAGGTTGGATCTTTTTCCTAAAACCAATTACCGGTAAGTGAGTCACTTGAATAAATGGAGATGGGGAAGTTTGCAGAATTCTGAGATTTGTACAGTACAGTTAAAGCTACATTTCATGAATAACCAGCTTTAAAGTTTACTGACAGCATAATTCAACTAATAGCATATATCAAGGATAAAATAAAAGAAGTTCACTTGAGATGGTTCGGCCATGTCCTGCGTTGCTAGCCCCTAGTCCTATCAGTTGAATAGCCCAAGCTCCTTAAGAGCACCGGTTCATGGGTGCGAAATAATGTTGAGTGAAGGTGTTAAAATGGGACGAGATAAACCTAAAATCACAAGGAAGTTGTCTTGGAAGGCTTACTGTCTCTTGAAATACATGCAGACTTAGTGAAACACGGGTTCACTTTTTGCATCATTTCTTCCTTTGCGAGAGCGTCCCCGTGTAATTATTGCCTTCAGCCCAGCAATCCATACCTCAGCTTCATCCTTGTCTTTACAGATCTACACAGAATTATCATTAGAGTTGTAGAATTTTTTTTAAGACTATGTTGTAGAAATCAAAATGCTCATTTTTTCTACAGGAAAAAAAATATTTATTTTTGAGGAGACAAATCAGAAACCTACCAAGTCCAAAGATCTGTCATTACAGATGAGAGAAAATGATTGATACTCCTTTTCAGGTCGAGGATACGGCTGGAATATTGCCTAAGGAGGAGAAAAATTAAAGCTGTTTTGGTTAGCCACTTGAAACTAAAGCTCCAGAGCAAGAAGTAATATATAATCACACAGAATAAGGATCTAAATTTGGCAAGAAGTAAGAAAAGAAAAAGCCTCGTGAACTATAAATGAACAATCTTTACAAGTCAATCATAGAGCACATCATCTCCTTTAAGTTTTTGGTTGCTCCCTCTGTTCCTCCATCATCCTAGAGTTTGGTCCACTTTACTACACCAACCACCCTTTGAGAAAAACATGAAAAGCAAATAGAAAGAAAAGAGGAACAATAGACATTGCCATTTTCGGAAAGTTAACAAAACTACAGTCCTACTGTCTCTCCTTGGAAGCGCTCGTAGAAGGAAAATTGAGGGAGAAAATTTCCTTTATTAGGGAAGAAAGGTGGGAATAGTCAAACTCACAGTTCTCTGTCCAGGAATAATCCTTGAAACATGACACAGTTCAAGCTGTTTTTCTTCTTTGCCGTGATACCATACCAACGCAGATTCGTCCTGATACATATCCAAGAAAGCCCTTAGTGATACGGTATAAATACAACTTGTAATCAAGTTTCCAAGCAAGTAAAGGAAAAAACTAGTACTTATTGAAATGCATATTCAACGGATAATCAAAAAATCCCCGAGGGCGAGCTTGTGCACTATTCAGAACTCTGTGGATAATACAAAAATCTATTTCTCTTCTCTCCCTCGCTTTCAACTCTTTGTGCACGGTGTACACAAAATGCTTGTATCTGTGCCTTTGCCCGATCTCACATCTGCTATGGTGCCAAAGCTATCCTAAATGTAAAAGGAGACTGCTTAATTGCATCATAAAGATCAATAAAATTAGATGGTCAATTTATTCTCTATGCAAATAAGGGAGTCCTGAACATCAAACAATTTCTATCCTTTGACAAAATGTTCATATAAGGATGAATGTCAGCAAAGACATAATGCCGAGCTTTTGAACTTCTGTAGTATCATACAAACGTTACTAATCACTTCCAATGAGATCACTAATTTCAATATGTCCTTTTGCAGACTGAAGACGTTAAGAACTTAAACGCCTAGATACTGTATTATGTCCTCCAGCATGCATTTTAACCCCATGAACCACAAAGGAAAATAATATATTGAAAATGAGATAACTAAAGAACTCACATTAGAAAGACGAAAAGGACAGAACTTGGGTTTTCCTCTGCGCCCATACTTCAGCAGATTTACTCCTTTCTTAAGCGCTGCAATGGCCTTCAAATGAAACAAAGCCAAGAAGAAAAGATAACAAGCAGAAAACAGTTAAGCTTAATATCTACATGCAGGGCAATAAATACATTCATTTTGCATTCCCTAAATCTAGAACCTCATAATTACTCTCAGAGGCAGAGGGAGCCTCTATGCTATAGTCTTAACTGAACTCCATATTTTTGATGCAGAACTCCATATATATATATATATATATATGTGTGTATGTGTGTGTGTGTGTGTGTGTGTGTGTTAGGTGTGTATGCGGAGGCGGACCTTGGATGTGAAGGTGGCAGGGGCACATGAGCGAAATGCTCAACTAGTGCTCCCATTGGACTTTTGATCTTAAGTGTTCCAAGCAAAACATATGACCATTTTTTCAACATATATACAATTATATATTCAGAATTTTTGCCGAAGTTAATGGGGTCCAGTGACCCCTCTTCTACAAGCATAGGCCCGCCTCTGTACGTATGTATGTATATAGATGTGGGTGAAAGATAGGACACAATGAATAAAAAGATCTATATAGGCGATGCCAATCAGTTGGGAAATATTCATGTTCGTATGTTTTATTTTAGATCCTATGCTTCCTAGGTCTCCTTTAGCCTTGTCAGAGATCTATATGCTAGTAGAAATATATAGAGAACTTTTGGTACTTTTTATTTTGGCTGAATACATATGCTGCCCCTTAAACTTGTCAGTAAATTCCACATTGACACTTTAACTTAAGGTGTAACCTATTGAACACTTGAACTAAGCTAAAAATATGTCAATTGAACACCTTTTTCAACTCAGGAGAAACATCAGAATGCGTGAGATTCACAGCAGTTGTCATGGCAAAGTGACAAATAAAAAGAAGACACATCAGCAACAAGTAAAAATTAATGCCCGATGACTGGGGTTGGTCTCCTACTCCGGCAAGAGCACAATATGCACAAAAAACTGTCTTTGCGTTAACAAATTCAATTGAAATCACGATTGGCGGCAAAATCAAAACAGCTGGAAATTGACGCCTGTCCTAAAACAAGTATAGAGAAATCACTATCCTCGGCCGAGGGTCTACCGTAAATAGCCTTCTATTTTCATAAGGTAGGGGTAAGGTATGCGTAAACGCTACCCTTCCCAGACCACACTTGTGGGATTACACTGGGTTTGTTGTTGTTGTTACTATCCTCCGATGAGGACTTTTTTTCTTCAGCTTTGACAGACGCCCTTTTATGAATAATCAAAATAACACGTATTCCACCAAAAACACATACGAGGTTTGAGCTAAAAGAAAGAATGCCCACAGTGGGTTGACTTTGAGTTAAAGTTTGACATTGCGTTTCAGTTTTGTCCGCGACTGGCGTTACAACGAAGGAGACGGTTTCTTCCACCATTTCTCTGGCTGTGACGACCGTTACTTGCATCTTCTCTCCATGTTCCCTTCGTGCTATTTTTTGTTTTAGTATTCTCTGATTTTCTCTCTCTTTTGTGTCCGTATTTAAGGTTCTATAATTCATGAAGTGGGGTTTTTCATGACTTTCAACGTAGAGAGGTTTCTAGGTGAGAGTCATAGGGAAGACAAGTTTTGAGATACTGCAAGTTACAAGATACGTGGGCTGAAAATGAATTATACAATAATTTTAAAGGAAAATTCAACATTCAACATTCAACTTTTTCTCTTTTTCTTCTTTAGAATTTAAAATCATCCATAATTCACTTATGCACTTGTTATGGTTTGGTGGCTAGATTTTTATAGATTTTCCAAGTGATTTAGCGGTTGTAAAAGCGGGTTATATTACCGGAAAAAATGGCTTTCGTTGATGTTGGATTTTCCGGCCGAAGAATGAATTAGGGGGACAGGAAGAATGTAGTGAGAGAGGAAAACCTAGTACATCTCTGGATAAAAAAGTGAATTCAGGAAAATATGAAGCATACTCACTCTCTCAAAGGAGGTGAAAAACACTCACTGTGCCATAACAGCACATTATGTTCGATTGACACTTTTTTAGATTAGTTCAAGTGTTCAATAGGTCACACCTTTAGTTAAAGTGTCTTAGTGAAATTTTCTGCCAAGTTTAAGGGGCTGCATATGTATTCAGCCTTTTATTTTTATTTTGTATAACATTGGCTCGAGATGAGTTTAAATTGAGAATCATGATCCGTGAGAATTCATATAGCCGATTCCTACTTATTTGGGGCTGAGATGTAATTATTGTTTGTATCATTCAACTAACTGGCTGCAATTCATTTTGTTCAATCTATGTTTTTGTTTTCAAACTCGTCTAAGCTTTAACCAGACTGCTATGGATGAAAAAGATAAGAATACCGAATTTTCGGTTGTAAATTTCAGTGTCTAATTCTTACTGTTGCATTCAAAAATAACAAGTGTCTAATCAGGTCAGATGTTTGTTTTTCTTTTCCTATCCACATCCTCTCCATTTTACTTTTGAGCCTCTTGGTATTGGAGCCAGCTGGTTCAACTCTTGTTGGTTTGTTTTGGGGTCGAGGTGAGGTGAGGGGAGGAGTTATGTGTTTGAGCTTTTCACACTCAAGGAAGAGAATAACCTTCTCCGACATGTTTTATGACTTCATTTTTCCATGTTCAAGCGGAAATGCTCTGGCGAGCATTATTTTAAGTCATCTTTCTTGCCTTACACTGAATGTTGATTTTTTTTTCAATTAAATGTGCAGGCAAATAGAGGAATATACACGTCTAATTGCATCAATTAAGGCCCAGATCAAGATGGTATGTGGGTTAATTTTTCTCCTTTCCTTCTTCCTAATAAACATGTGCTTCGGAGCTCTCAAGGACGCACATAATATCAAGTTGTGAGAGATAAACCGGAGCTTTCTTTTATGTTCCTGATGAAATTACACTAACTGGTGCATATTTTGTGAAAAAACTTGAATGCAGGTTCATGAAGGGATACGTGAGCTGCTCCAGCTTCCGGCAGAGCCAGCTTACTAAGGTGTACATGTTATAAATTGGTTAAGGAGAGGGGATTTACAGAGAAGGACCACCAAAAAGTGAAAAATGAAGTCTAAGCTAATTCTCTATCCATCAAAATGGTGGATGTGCAAATGTTCTATAAAGGACTTCTCTATCTGTTCCTTTAAAAAAGATCATCTGTGGAAGAGGAGGGGTGATTGATTAAAATTTCCATCAGTTTTTTTAGAAGTTTTGGATACTGCATTAGGTATCAGAACGACTGGAATTGGAACCATACAACCTATTTGACTAATATATTTGAGGTCAATGCTAATGCCTAACTGTGTGTCTCTATGAAGGTTTTATATTGTTGAGATACAATAACATGGACATTTTCAATTTGCATTTTTTTTCCAAATAAATTAGAGCAAAAAGTTTGGTCTTCCATGGAAAATTGTCGACAAGGCAGGATCAGTAATTTTTCTTCCTACATGTGAAAAGTTCCTTCCATCGGTACTCTATTTAATTGTCTACATGTGAAAAGTTCCTTCCTTCGGTACTCTATTTAATTGTTTTCATAGTTACTTGTTTAAACACTTTGTAATAAAAAATTCCCCCCTAAAAAGGAACTCCGGTATCCTATATTTATCAAATTGCCTTTAATAAAACGGTTAATAGAAGTAATACCAAAACTATGTTACAATCGAACTGCTGTTATATCACGAGATTAAGAGTCCGTTTGGACATAATAATTTTTTCACTAACTTTTTTTCCAAAACAACATTTGGATATAAAATTTTCAATTTTCATTTGAAGATAAATTTTAGAATTTTTCGAAAATTTGCACAAAAATTCAAAAGCAATTCAAAATTATATTCATGTCTAAACATAACTTTAATTTTCAAATATCATTTTTACTTTTTTTTGTGAATTTTACAATTCTTATGTCCAAACGCCCACTAACTATCGCGCTTGTGAGCACGTGATTTTTGTTTTTCACGAAAATTACTCCAAAAGAAAAATCAAAATAAAACAAAATGTCATCTGTGTACAATTTTGAGAATTTGCGTGACATTTTGGTAATTATTTTGTCCGTAAATGTTTACCTTATTTTAGTTATTTAAAAATACAAAAAATATAGGTCGCATGCATACTTAAGATTTAATTGTGCATTTAGGAATCAATTAAACCATAATTTTGGTTTTCAAGGGGGAAATCACAAAAAATATGCATTTTTATTCTAATTGTCGTCATCATGTGATTTTTTTTATTAAACGTTTTAATTTGTGTGTTAATTATTGTTGAATGTTAATTAATATTTGTGTAGTTTAATTTTGGTTTTAATTTAATTAGGAATTTTTATTTAAATTAAAAGAATGAAAGGGGAGGAAAATACCGGATTTGGACCAAAAAATCCATTTGAAAATCAGGCCCAATTCGTTACACTGACCCAGTCCATGACCTGGGTTTCCAAACGACGTCATTTAGATGTATTTGATCTGAGCCGTTCATCTCACTTCATCTAACGGCTCCAGGCTTTCCCAGTTACCCGACCCACTGGTACCCGGATCGACCCATTCCCAACACTAAACCAAACGACGCCGTCCCCCTAAGTGCAAAGATCAAGGCCGTTGATCACCAATGATCCAATGGCCGAAATTCAACTCCCCCATCCCGTATATAAACCCCCCTCTTTTACCCCACGCCCCCTAAACCGAACCCCCCCTTTTACCTTCGTCTCCAAACCTCGGAGACCAAACAAACCCTCCGCCTTCAACCACCATGCACCGCCCACCGGAAATCGCCTCACGGCGGTTCCGGTGGTCCAAACAACCCCATCTTCACACCATAGAACCCCCTCACCCTCCTCTTTCTGAATCTACCTTCTATTGTCCTCGAATCCCAGTAGTATGTCTCGAATATCAGATCGAAAAATCAGCCAAGGACCTTAGTTCACCCGATGACCCCCAAATTAACATCCTTAGATCATCTAACCACCCCCAATCCAACACCAGTACCCGTTTGCATCGAATCATCTTCGAGCTTCTCGAATCTTTGTTTGAAGATTCGAGCAAAGCCCGGACATACCCCAATCCACCCTAAACTCACACCCTGGCATCCCCTGACCTCCCTCGTACCTGAAACACACTGGTTTCCTTTCAAACCTGGTTGGAACCGTTCGAACCCTAAAATCGAACCAAGAACCCTAGAAAACCAAAAGTTGGAATCAGTCTGAAGGGGAGAAATTTGGGTGTCCAATGGACCTTAGTCAAAGTGTTCTCAGTTGAGAACACTCGATTAAGGTCCCTTCGACCTCAAAAGATTCGAGTCAAGTGTTCAACCTGGGTTCGTCTAGTCTTGTATTTGTTTAAGGTACTTCTTTCCTCCTCTCTTGTTCTTTGTGTTATGTCTAATTGTTGTTTAGGTGGTTATAATTTAGCCTCGTTTGATTGATCCCATTTTGCCCCATCAGACCTTTTATTGGATCCAATTTTATTATCATTTCTGCTTATTGTCATTTGTTGTATGCTGTAATGTGTTGTCGATTAGTCTGATATGTTTGAATGATAGAGTAGCATGATAATTAGTCTAATGTTTAGTTCATTCTTGGTTGTGACCCCTCCTGCCTTGTTTGTGTTCTGAATGGTAATATTTGAGTTCAGATTTGAGCCTGTGGTTGTTTTCAGTTCATTGAGCTGAATTTATGGTTCGTTTGTTCAACCTGAATTAGTCAACCCCCTTTTTGAAACTCTGCTGGTTGTTCCCTACTTTTGCACTCCAAATCTGTTTAGGGCATATGCTGGTCAGGTTGATCTTAGTCCATCTTGTTTTGCTGAGTTTAAATATGATTGTTTCCCCATTTATAGTTAGTTCAATATATGCTGCCCTGAACTTTTAGGTTTCATTCTAAATGCCATCTGATTTAGTATCTTGAATTACTAGCTGATTTGAATTGGTTGTAGCTGTTGTAACTAGTTGGATTCAGTTTAGTTAATAAGTAGGTTTGAATAGGTTGTTGATCAAAGTCTGTATCCAGCACTTAAGGGGTTTGGGGTAGGACAGTGAATCACAGGGGTTTCAGGGGTAATTTGGGGATTTCAAAACTTGGAAAAAGAGGGTTAACTTGAGTGGACTGTCAGGAAGTACAAATGTACCATTAATCTAATGCATTTGTTTAAATAAAGTTGGGAACAAAAGATAATAGTATGGGGGAGGTTTTGTTGGGGAGTGATTAAATAAATGTTGCCCATAATCTTTGAATTAAAAATAGGATAGGATAAGTGTAGTGGGGAACAAAACATACAATAGTGGGCAAAAGAAGGAGGAAGGGGCAGAATATTTTTCTGATTTTAGTTTTTGAGTGCTCTTAAGAGCTGGAGTGTGGGATCTTTTGGCATATATACAGAGCCACTGATAGGCAGCAAGGGGGGAGGAAGAGAAAAAAAAAGAAAAGAAAAAGAACATAGAGAGAGAACTTAGGAGAGAGTGGACAGATTTTTTTCTAGATTTTGAGAGCTGTGAGCTGCATCTATCAGGCCTTCCTTTTAATGTCTTGAAACATCAGTAAACTACTGTTGTCTCGTACCTATCTCCCTTTTGCTTTGACTGTGAAGCCTGTGATTGCATTTTGGTTTTGCTGGGTTTTCAATTGTTCGCTCTTGAGTTTGCTGGGTTTATTTGCTACTGCTTCCATTGGTTATAGCTGAATCTTTTTCACTTGGATTTATTCTGCTTATTGTTACTGCTACTGTTGCTGTTGTTATTTACGGAACACTACTGTTGCTTCACTGATCTTCATCTTCTTTCCTTGCTTTCCAAATACCAGGTACACAAAACTGAATACACTGGTACATCTTGTAAGCTACTCGAAGCATGAACGCAAAAAAATGGGAAAGATTTGAATCTGTAGTTTAATGTAGTTTTTTCTTTCTTTTATTGTCTGTATTTAGAACATTCTATGCACTGCCCATGTAAACTCTGGTTACATACTGAATCTCATTTGTATATATGTTAGCTAGTTGCCTTAACTAGAATCAGGTGGTTGTTGTTTATGTATAACATGGGCATTATCCTATAGCAGTTTAAGTTGTAAACTCCTTCCCCGTAGGCTTTTAGTTTAAATGGACTAACAGTTGTAGTTGTAACATTCTGCTAGTTCAATTTGTTCGATTAAACATCATGTTCCAAATACATATCAGGCCTTAGGTGATTACTCAATAGTTCAAACTATTTTAGTTAACAACTTGTTCATCTAAATTCGTAAAAAAAAACGGGTTTCATTGGGAATCACTTTCATTTCGGGTTCTTAAAGTTTGAACATGTGTAGAATCATTTGGCTAAGCCCAGCATCTGAATAAGGATGGCACAGGTCCAGTTTTACTCCTTATACATTGGACCTAGGCCCATAATTGTTAACCGACTGCCCTTATTGTATTGTCTTCAGATTTAACGACTCACTTTCGAAACTCAACTATAATAACTCGTGAGCATATAAATAAGCTAGAACTCTTTTCTTTCATTGTAGAGACGAACGAAATAGAAAACATAGTCACTATAAGTAGATCCTTTTAAAACAGAAATGAGGCGTGTCTCGCCAAACAAAAGTGCAAATTGCAGGGCCCTCAATAATTGGTCATAGTAAAATACTTAGAATTTGGGATGAATTGTTTAGTGAATTTCACTGCCTTCCCCAAAGATAATTACGCGTTAGACTCTTTAGGCGCGATTTAATTAAATTACATTCTTAAATTCGGGTGCGCATTTATGCGACCCAAATCCAAATCTCAACGGAGTCGGAATGTATTAACAACCACGGGCGCATTGATTGTGACGTGGTTCGAAATGCATTTTCACGACGTTGCAATTCCATAAAAAATAAATAATAATAAAAGCTGTTTAAACCTAATAAAAGCACACAAGTTATAACATGTATTAAAATCAGATATTTAGCCATTATAACAATTTAAGCGACCGTGCTAGAACCACGGGATCCGTGGGTGCCTAACACCTTCCCTCGGGTCAACAAAATTCTTTACTTAGAATTTCTGGTTCGGAGACTTCATTTGGAAAGTCGAAAATTTCCTCGATTTGGGATTCAAGATAAACCGGTGACTTGGGACACCAAAAACCAAACCTTTCCCAAGTGGCGACTCTGAAATAAATAAATAAATCCATTTCGAATATTGTCACTTAAATTGGAAAAAGTCCCTCACGCATTTATCCTTCGGGGTAGGCACGCAAAAAAAAGGTGTGACAGCTCTGGCGACTCTGGTGGGGATACAACCCAGAATCTCTTGTTCAGGGTTTAGAATTCGAGCTTAGAATTATTGTTATATTTGGCTTCATTATCTGATCTTTATTACATGTTTGGTCATAACGTGCTCAAATGTTGCCTTTTACCGCTT